TGTATTCGTCTTTAGTTCGGTCGAGGTTAGAATACGCTGTATTTGTTTGGAGACCTTTTCATACAGTTCATGTGAACAGATTGGAGTCTGTTCAGAGGGCTTTTATACGCTTTGCTTTGCGTCCGTTGAAATTTGTAGACCCTATTCCGTCCTATCGTTCTCGTTGTTTGTTGATAAATCTCATGTCCTTAGAGTCCAGGCGTACTTTGTTATCGATGTGCTTTGTCTTTGACATAATTGTAGGCTCTTTAGATTGCTCGCACCTCCTTATGAAAATTCGTTTTAATGTTCCCTCACGTATTCTTCGTTGTAATGAATTGTTTTTTGTGGGTGTTGTTAAAACTGTTTATGATATGAATGCTCCTTTAAGGAGGACTCTCTCCCAATTTAATGCTTATTCTTCACCTTTAGACTTCGATTTTTCTTACTCAAAGTTTACTTTTAAGAATTTACTCATAAGGCACTTGTCATAACGGTTTCCCTTATTCTATGTATATATTTGTCATATAGTCTGTAAGCGTCCTGTTTGTTGATAATAATAATAAATAATAAATAAATAAAATCGCCCGACTATCGTAATTGGCATACGGTCCGCAGCTCATCCATGATAATGATATTGACTATTGAGAATGTACGTTCGCCTGCAGCCTTCGAAAATCGCAGACCAAACAGCCCAAGGGCAAGCTTCGAAACGCATTTTTTTATTGCCTCCAGCATTAGTGAACTCCTTGATATTTATTTTTTTTAGGGATAAATGAAATGACTTTAGGGTGAACACTGGATTCCGTTGGCTTGGTCATGTCGTACGAATGAATACAAACGCTTCAACGCAATACCCGCTGGTGGTAGCAGATTAGGCGGTTACAGCTCAAGGAATATAATGGCCATTCCGCAGTACATACATACATTTATATATAGTTATTCCATAAATTTTTTTACCATTTTTTAAGTACGTAACAAGTAATTAAAACGCAACATTTTTAGCATACAACGATGATGTTTTATTAGATGTTAATTTGTATCTTTATTATTTCGATATGAACAAAAATTAGGTTGTAATTTGCTTACATACATATTTAAATTAATTTCTCAAATAAACGATCTACAAATAATCGCTTCTATATCGACTGCTGAGTGAAAGATCGACCTATCGCGGCAGCCAGTTCAAAAACGCCCTATCTCAAAATCGTTTTCAAGAACGGCCTATTTAAGAATTTGGTTGAAGAACGCCTTTTTACCTTCCTTTTATTAGCTCGAGATGTAACTATGTAATATTGATGCGCCTAAAAGATGCAGCGATTTCTATTCTCAAGTTACATACCTGTTGACAGTACGAATGGCAATTCTAATAGGGAGGTTTTAGTTTTTTAAACTATAATTTTATTTCAGAATTCATTTCAAAAACGCCCTATCTCAGCTGCCGATTCAAAAACGCCTTATATCAGCACATTTTCAATAAATTTTGAAGCGAGATAAGGCGTTTTTTAACCATATTCTGAGATAGGACGTTCTTCAACCAAATTCTGAGATAGGGTATTTTCCAATAAAATTCTGAAATAGGGCGTTTTCGAACTGGCTGCCGAGATAGGTCGATCTTCCACTCAGCAGTCGATATACATATGTTTGTAAGTGTGTAAATGTATTTAAAGTAAGAGTGAATAAGGTTTAAAATTTTTATAAGTCACTTGGGAAAACGTTAGTTCACGCTTTGCTGGAACCATGTCATGTGCTTCATGGAGCGCGTAAAAGGTAAGTGAAGGCGTGAAAAGGCGAAATTATTTTTAAGTTCATTTCTTTATGTTTAATTACAATATAAATATGGGTAAAAGTACAAAACAAATATACATATAAATAAAATACATATGCATGAATGTAAATATGCAGCTAAAAACAAAACAATATTTAAGCTAATACGTAAAATATACATACATATAGGTTTGTGTGATTGATTGCACGAAAAAGCAGATATTATAATTACTTTATTATTTTCTATGTACTTTACTTCTTAGCGGTTACACACAAGTACGAGTACACATAGTACATACACAAGTTAGTATGCATGTACGAGTATATGAATTTAACTTTTGTATATGTAATTAAATTTAAATATTCATAATTCTCATTTACTATTCGTTAGTGCTAAACTCATTACTCGTTTGTATGTATGTATGTATGAATGTAGTAAAAGATTTGGTTCAGTAGCTTATCATCATTCCGTACATTTGATTTTATGTTATTTTAGTTGTGGATATTTCATTCGTTAACTGTTGGTATGCATCCATCCACATATTGTTTATGCGCATGCGCAAATGCATACAGCGCAACAAGACATGTATGCACGCGTGCGCCACGCAAATATCTCATGTACTACGTCCGTATGTAACGAATTGTGCGATTTGGTGCTGTTTGGTGTGTGATGATGACTGGGCGAGTGGATTTGCTGATTTACCAGAAACCAGTGGATTTGCCACCTGGTGGATTTCGTACGCGAATGCACGAACGCGTGACCGACTTGTCCAGCTCCTCTATAAAAATAAATGAAATTTAGTTTTTTTTTACGCCACACATTTCACTCAAATCAAATACTTTACCGCTAACGGAAAACGTTGATTCTTGCATGTTGCGCGTACCTTCGACGTGTCCCCGACCCGACGGTGTGCTCGCCACGGAACCACCAGCACCCGGCCTGGAAGCCAGAAGTGTGCGCGAAATTGGCTCCTGGTAGGGTATTTCGATTTCCAATGCACCCAAGTCCAACTTCTTCAGCCCACCATTCAAGTGTTCCTCATGCGCAGCCTCCTCCCCATTGCGCTCTTCGTTTAGTGCAGCCTTACCTTCTAGCACATCGTAGAGATATGGCGGACGTGTTGGTGTATTGATAAAGCGACCATAGCCCTCAGCCACGCGCACAGCGCCATCTTCTACACAAATGCGTCCACGTACCAAAACTATCTCGGGCACACCATGACATACCATGCCCTCGAAGATGTTGTAATCGCATGCGTGATGATGAGTCTCCCTGGAGATGGTACGTGTGGCGTTTGGATTCCAGATGACGATGTCTGCATCAGAGCCCACAGCAATGCGGCCCTTTTGCGGATAGAGATTGAATATTTTGGCGGCATTGGTACTGGTGACGGCGACAAATCGGCAAGGGTCTAATAGACCTGCGTGTACACCCTTCTCCCAAACGACAGACATGCGATCTTCAACACCATTGACACCGTTGGGAATCTTAGTGAAGTTACCCTTGCCCAGTTCCTTATGCTCCTTGTTGAAGGTGCAATTGTCGCTACCGGTTGTCTGCAGATCATCGCTGTTGAGGATAATTTGAAAAAGCAATTTAGAATTTGTCGTCCATTAAGTGCTGTGGGGAACCATTTTAGGGATTAGTCAAAAGCAAATTGCGGTTAGCTGGCAGAGATTAGTTATAACTGAAACGCACAATGGAGAAAGGCTCAGAAAGACATCAAATTCACAGAAGAGATTATTGAGTAGACAATATCGATTAAAGCTATTTTTGGGCTCTAAAAATTTGGTTTGTTGTTAACTTTACTTGAAAAAAATCTGAGACGTGTGCTTGCGCTGAAGTTGATAGTAAAAATTCCTAGAAGAGGTGCCACAACCTACCTACCAATGGGTGCAGTTAATGGTGGGACTTGGCTTTCTGCGGAAGATAAAAAAATAAAAAGTGAAAAACAATTGATGTTAATGCAAGAAGTGTCATCTCCCGGAGAGGTCGGCTACAGTTTTGTTTTCGCTTAGTTCCAGTTCTCTTCCTAGACACACTAGATGGGTTAATTCGATGATTTTTTAACTATATCCGATTACAAATAGATATCTGTTTTGGAGTAAGGGCACAAACGAAATTATCCACCCATGATTGTTATATATAAGGACTGTCTGATAAGCCAATGACTTTTTGAAAGAAAAGACGCTTCATTTCTTAACATAGTCTTCTTTAAACTCAATACATTAACACCAGCGGTTTTCCCATTATTGAATCCCTTCCAAATACAGCGAAGACGCGATATGTAATTCGTACCCGTAGCAATCCGTGGTACTTGAAAAAAACCTCTTCAATTCGCAAAGTTTCCTCTACATTTTGGCCCTCCAATTAATTCCTATTTTTTGACAAACTTTTGTAACTCGTAATGCAAAGCAAAATTCTATGCAGCTGTACCTCGAAAAAATAAGTCATAGTAGTTTAGAGTTTATGTTTGTCGTTAACTTTTTCGTCGCATCTTTTTGCATGTATTTTTTCCTGGTCAGTTAACATCGAAATCTTGCTAATTAAAAAACCTGATTAATTCGTAAAATATTACTGGTCCCTTGCTATTATGAATTATCGGAATTTCACAAAAAAAAAGCCGTAAGGCCTTAATTGCCTTAAAATAGCCGTCTGCTTCAGTGACGGCCTCTTTCTTCCAGCCAAACCTCGCACCGTTCCATCACGTTTGGAAACAGAAAATAGTCGAACAATGTTGAAGCGGGAAAATATTCTGTGTTGAGCAGCAGTTCGTAGCCCAAGTTAATAATTTTTGCCAAAGCAACTGTGCTGGTCTGCACCCGTGCATTATCTGAGATTGTCTTCTTTCAAAATAAGCACTGACCATCTTATCGTCAGCAACAGCGTTACGTTCAAAGTTACAACGCAGGACATTAAAAAGGTCACTGATTTATCAAACTGTCATCGTATATGTATATATTTGTTTTTCAATAATCAATGAGCCACGACACACTAGTCTTTGTAAACCGTCTGAAACCGGGTTTCCATGGGCGTGAGGAGAAAAGGAGTAGTATATTACCTCAGCAATTTCTTAGAAATCTCTCCTACTAATACAACTACATATATACAGTGTATGTACACAGGTACATAACCGGTTTCAGGCGGGCTCAAAAGACTAGCGTATTTTCGCATGTTGGTCTGGAAAGACTAGTGTGTCGAGGCTCAATAAGATTAGGTTTAGGATGATGGATGTTTCGCATTTCGGAATATCGATTTTTATTAATAACTTGCCCTTGAACCTGAAGATTCTTGACGTAAAAACGTCCTTAAAAACATCAACCTATAAATTTTCTACGGGGGAACTATATATTTTGTTCTAGTTCTTAATAAAGGCATCCGAGAATATTTCAAAATTTTAGAAAATTTTTCGTGGGTTAGAAAAATTTATATTTTTTAACGTAAAACAAAATAAAGATGTGTCCCATGATTTTGATATTTTAAGAACCACCCTAATATGTATACACTTTTCTATGCTTATATGATATGTTATCTAGATCTGGTTCTTATATTTTTGGTACACGACACAAGGATAAAAGATCATATCATTTTATGTGTGGGTTCACAATGAGACTTTTTACTTCTTCTTTTTTTACGATTTGATTTCAACCTACTTAATCATCGGAATTCAAAGAAAGCTACATTTTCAATTTAGGTACAGATATACATTATTTATCCTAGGTATCAAACTAAAATCAGTCTTCCATTGCCCAATGAAAACGGTGCGACAAAAACTAAAAAATTTCATAACACAAAAAAGAAATTGCGTTTTTTACTTTTTCCTTTGAACGTCAGGGTGTTTTTAAATGACTTTGAAATTTCAGCTATAGACAAGGCGAATTCATATAAGGTGGTAGCGGTTGAACAAAAACAAAAACTTACATGTACATATTTTGTTTTTGCTTTCGGTACACAAATGTCAAATTTCAGCTATTCTTCGTTCAAGGAAGAACAGGGAAAGAAAATTTCAACACCCTCACTTTCTCACTCACTTATAAGAAATTTTGACACATGTGTACCGAGGCGAATCAAATTATATATTATATAAAAAATTAATTTAAAAAATTCAGTGCAAGTAAAATAACAGTAAGGGTATCAAATAAAAGAGAAAATTTTCTAAAATTGAAAAATACTTTCTCTCTATCTAGTTCGCATGCATGAAAATGTATTAAAAATGTCCTTTTAATTAATTCGGTTTTATTATAAAATAATACATTTAGTTTTTCTCAATTATTCAAAATTTTTTATATTCTTTGATACCCATATTGTGATTCTACATTACACTGCATTTTCTAAATAATTTTTGGAATCAATCATATTCTTGAAATTTCCAAGTCCTTTAAAAAGTCCTGACATCAGATCACACACACACATTTGGCCTTAGCAAAACTGGCTGTCACACGATGTTAAGCAGGGATCACGTGATTTGTACAATTTGGCAGTTACAGAGTCGGGTTGTTTGGACATTTTATATTGAGCTGATATAAATTTCTAGACAACACCCCTCTGTGGCTGCCAAAATGTACAAATGTACAAATCCCTACTTTATGCGATGTAAATGAACATCTTACGGTGAACGAAATGAAGTATGTCTACTCCATCACCATTGATCAACAATTTTTTGATAGATAGATGATTGATTGATAGATGTATAGAACTTTTCAGGCCAAAGCAAGCAAAGAAGTCTAAGTTCGAATGATACCGCATGTTTATACTGGTAAGACTTAAACCAATTTCAATATTCAATTTTTAAAACCACATACAAGCGTTTCGATTGAGAATATTCAGACAAAATTAGTTTCCTCATTCCATTGACAATTTAAAACTATAAGACTTTGGTCATTATTATTCGTAACAGCTTTTGGTATTATTTTGCCTTTTTTTTGCCCAGTGTTCTTCAGGCAGAGGTCTTTACCATCAAAGCCTGGCGGCGGTCAAAGCACTTGGCTCTGCAAATATCATCCCCAGCATAATAAAACAATGCAGATGAACCGTATGGCTTTAGCTGATAGGCATTTCGTTGAACTGATATGGGTGTCAGGGCACAGAAGAATACACGGCAGCGAGAACCGGTCGGCTATGGATATCTCAGTCGCAAAAGAGGTTCTATACCTCTCAGCTATATCAAGGGCCACATCTCTCACCACTGAAAAGAGTTGGCTGATTGTAGGTTGAACAAGAGGGATTTGTCTGGACTAACTGCAATTTTCACATAGAACTGGGCTCTGGGAACCCACGCTGCAAATTTAAGACTGGAGCAAAACACTTGTTGTCGCATCTGTAATCTACCAGTTTCAGAAGAAACGGTAGGACTAAAATTAGGTTTTTAGGTGAATCTTTCTGTGGCTATCTTACAGACATAAGAGATATTAACCCACTACAACTTCATAGTTTCTTAAGCTCCACGAGCTGGATCTTAGAGAAATAACCAACTTCTGTCGTTTTCTTGTGATCGTTTCTTTTCCAGGTTAAATTGGGAGTTTAGGTTTAAAACGGCAAGTGCTAATTGAAGTATTTAAACTCGCTGCATTCATCAACCAACCAATCATGGCTACCATTTGCTGGGCGTTCCCACGACAATCGGGTCCACGTAACTGGAACGACTCAAATTCATATTTGGCCAAAAACTGTCACTCCTACATCATTATCCAAAAACTCTTTGAGGAATTTGTATGCTGTTACAACAACAATAGCCATAACAACCATTTTCTGGGATAGCGATGGAGTTCTTTTAATTCATTACTTGCCTACAGGTACTACGGTGAACGGCTTACTTCGTGAGCCACCAAATCCAGTCGTACAGAAGAAAACTGGCTCATTGCACTACTCGGGTAGCAAGGGATGCCTTAAAAGCTACGGAAGTCACAGAAACTAACCACCCACACTGCAATCCGAATCTTGACTCAATGGTTTTTTCTCCTTTCAAATAAAAAAAAAAAGCAGCTGCGGAGACGAAGAGTTTCGGAAGACAATGAGATGCAGGTAGCCNTATATCTTGGTAACCGCTGCACAAATTTCTTCCAAACTTGGCACAGTTGTTAGTCTTGCTACAGCATACCAAATGGCCGAAAATTTTTGAAATCGGACAATAACCACGCCTACCTCCCATATAACGGTAATTTGGAGAAATACGAATTCTTCAATAAATCAATAAATATTAAAGCTAATTTACTCAGAATTGATGCTTGCAACAATTCTTTACCAAGAAATACGTTTGTGATAAAGTTTTGGAAAATGGGCGTGGCACTGCCCACTTTTGATCACATATATGTATCTCGGTAACCGTTCTACCAATTTGTACTAAACTCGGTATGATTAATGTGCTTGCCACATAGAAGCAAAACATTGAAAATTATTGGAATCAGATTCAAATTACTACCCCTTTTCATATAACGGCAAATTTCAGAAATGCTTGAAACTTCAATATTTCGAAATTTAAGGACGCTAATTTACTCAAAATTGATGCTGGCAACAATTCTTTACCAAGAAATACGTTTGTGATAAAGTTTTGGAAAATGGGCGTGGCACTGCCCACTTTTGATCACATATATGTATCTCGGTAACCGTTCTACCAATTTGTACTAAACTCGGTATGATTAATGTGCTTGCCACATAGAAGCAAAACATTGAAAATTATTGGAATCAGATTCAAATTACTACCACTTTTCATATAACGGCAAATTTCAGAAATGCTTGAAACTTCAATATTTCGAAATTTAAGGACGCTAATTTACTCAAAATTGATACACACCGGCTTACCATGTAGCGGTACCTGCGCCGGGTATTTAATGTTCGGCTCCGCCCGAACTTAGACTTTCTTACTTGTTGAGAAATTATTTTTCCGTAGCATAAAGGCATTGTATATACATACATATTGACGATGTGAGAACTGTATTTCACTTGAGGGGGCCTACATTGAAAAAGAATTTTAAGTAAAAATATTCCCTGCATTAATATCAATTTTCCTTCTAATTCCGTTTAGTGATGTTGGTATTGTTCTTCAAAAGAATAAGTCTTATTGTACTAATTTTAAATAAATAATGAAAATATAAAACATAAAACCTTCGGCTGCGAACTTTACAGCCGTCCCTCGAATGTATGCCTATTCTTTTCTAAATTCTGTAAGACTATTATATAATAAATATTCAACCATGTAAAGATCTCTGTACGAAGCATGCTTGAGATGTCAAATCGACAAAGGCTCGTCTGCACCCTTTTTAACCGACTTCCAAAAAAGGAGGAGGTTATCAGTTCGTCGGAATATTTTTTTTTTTTTTTTATGTATGTTACCGCATAACTTTGGACCACGTCAACCGATTTCGATAATTATTTTTGCATCGGAAAGGTAGTGTCTCAGAGGTGGTCCCATACTAATCTGGTTAAGATCCGATCAGTGGATCATGAGATATATATATATATATATTTTTTTATATGAGAGTTGAAGTCGGTTTTTTTTTGCTAAAAATTATTAGTTTATAGCAAGTATTGATTTATTTATGTTGTTGACCAGAAAAGTCAAAACAAAAGTTCAGTCAGGCAGGGTAATGCAATAATTTCGAAAAGTCAATCAAACAACACAATTTCGAAAAATAAATTACATAATTTCTGTCAGAGCATGCATGTAAAGCGACTTTTGAAAGTCATTTTTCAAAACACACATATTCGCCAACAAACGCTTCACATGGAAACGTGGAGTACTTTAAAGTTAATTTTCAAAACCAATTTGTACTCTTTCTATTATTATATGGTAGGCCCAGGAAAAGTGCTGTTTCGACTGGGTCGGGCTAGAGGGACCCGTCTGAAGTACTGTTTTGCGGCATGTATGTATGTAGCTTTAAGGGGCATTTAAGGATTTCCTTTGTCATATGAATTGGAACCAGGCTATGAGGAAATTATATATTTTTAACCGACATCAAAAAATAGAAGAAAGGGTATTAATTCATGGGAATATATCGTCACCTTAACTTAGTCAGACTTAGCATAGTATGGTTTGGAGGCGTCGATATGTATGTATATATATTTTTTAAAGAATATCTTTGGACCACCTGAACTGTTTTCGATAATTTGTCTTTTTAGCGGAAACGTCGTACCCCAAGGGTGGTCCCATAGTTCGTTAAGAAGTAACGGTATTCCTAAATTTTTATACATATGTATAAGCATTGAATCGGCTGTATTTTTTGCTTAAAATTTACTTATTCTTTTTTGGGGATAACTACTTTCCGCTGTATAAAGGTAAATATAGATATTTGCTCAAAAAGTCTGGCAAATAACCAACTCGAAAAAGTTCTATACAACTAAAAAGAAACACCCATTATTTATTGCCATGAAATACTTACTAAGCCAACGACTTCATCAATTGCCTTGGCGTTTCGGCCGATTCACGTATTGGTGGACTTGTAATGTAATACAAACGATCCTGCTGACGAACACCATTCATTGAGCGACCAATTGAGCTGGTCAAAGTCTCACCGAATACAACATAGCCGCTACGACGAGCGCGTCCAATAATTTCCGCAGATGATTTCGAAGTGATGCGCGTCACATAGAGCGGCGTTTTCATCTGAGTAGCCGCCATTCAAATGGCATTTAAGCGTTGATGGGTGAATATTTGCGGGTGGTTGGTTAGCATGTGTGTGAGTGAGCGTGAGAAAGAGAATACAAAAAAAATAGACAAAACCAAACGAGACAAACAAACAAACAAACAAAATGGTTAGGCAAATTACAAACAATTAAATGGGTTAATTGCAGCAGCGTATAATTAATGACATACATAAATGTTGATTAGGCATAATTACGTACATATGCACATACGAACGATTTAAATTTCTATATAGACATGTGTTTAGTAAATGCCTATACATACATATTGATCATTAGATATTGAATGGGTGTCAAAATGTTAGCGTTCCGAGGAAATGAGTTCTAAGCCAAAGTGCATGCAATGGTTGTATTAGTAAAGTGCACTTTGAATCAAACAAATTGCAACAACAAATATTTAAGTGAGGTTAACTCTTTTTCCAACTTTGTTAGTTTTTCATTAACCCTCCCTTCTGTACGCCCTTCAAAACTTACTTCGCCAAAAGCTTCATCATAAACTCGGGTGTCGTTCGATCGGGACGCAGCGGTGGACTGAGCACATGTGCCGCTGCATGTTGGAAGCATTCATGCCAATAGTGCGCGCCATCGGTGCCAAGCGCCGCAGCCAGAGTTTCACCGTAAATACCCTGATTCTTGTAGCGGTTGCGGGCACGGGCCACTTCAATGCCCGCCGATTTACTCATTACATGCACTACATACAATGGACAATCGGACTATGCGAAGTCGAGGAGGAACACGGGTTGTGGGATATTGGTGTGGAAGTGGTGTTTGATGCATCGGTTTGTATATTTGCATTGTGTAAATGTTGGGTGGTCGGGAGATGTATGTGCAAAAGGTAACAAGTACAAATAAAAATGGAAAATAAGAAAATAATAAAAAAATAGTAAAATTTTATATAAAAGTAAATAATAGAGGCTTAAATATGAGCAAAAAATTTTGAAAATTTAAACCACAAACATCCATTGACCTGTATAGCTAACAAATGTACATATTTACACACGAAATTTAGCGGAAAAAGCCACACCTCTTTTAGGTAGAAAATAGGTAAACCTCAAATTATTAATTTCGAACTATAATGAGAAACGTATTAACTTAAAGCACTCCCATTTTTTACAAATTCAAAAATTCTCTTCTAACGAAAGCTAACGGAAGGACTAAAGCTGATGTCAGATAAAACGCTTGCTTCGCGTTGGGTGACAGATTCGCTTTGACAGATAAGCTGCAGAGCGAAGCGAATGAAAGAAAGATGGCCAAATCCCATCTAGAACATTCGCACTGGCGTTGGCGTTTGCGTTGATTTGTTTTTAAGTTGGCCATCTTTCTTCTGCATTTGAGTGCATGTATTCATAGTCAGCTGCTGAAGCAACGCCATGCCAGCGCGGCACCAAAGTTCTATGTGGACGGGCCCTTAGCTCCTTGGTGGAGGTCCGAACTTAGTACCCTTTGGACACTGGTGAGAAAGTATTTTAAAATAGCTATTTAATTGTGCGGATCTTCTAAAGATCTACAAGAAAGCCGTACGTGNGGACGGGCCCTTAGCTCCTTGGTGGAGGTCCGAACTTAGTACCCTTTGGAAACTGGTGAGAAAGTATTTTAAAATAGCTATTTAATTGTGCGGATCTTCTAAAGATCTACAAGAAAGCCGTACGTAGTGAGAAAATAAAATCATGACGGAACCTCTGCAGTAGAGTCGAGAGCTCCAGTGAGACAACAAGGCTAAGGAAGGTCCTATCCAAGGTTTGTGTAACCCAGGGACTCATTAAAAGGGACGCTGGGGAGTGGACTCAATGTGAATAGAAATCTCTCAAAATATTATTACAGGCTCACTTCTCTGCGGTCGACGATCCAGGTACTCCACCTCGCGCTACCTGCAACATGCATCACAGGAGGCGGTAGCCGTGGAAGAGAATTGGAGTCGCCATCCAGACTGCTCCTTTAGCTCCTTTCCGTAGTATAAGTCTGTGGATAGCAGTTTTCCTGCGATGTTGCAGAAGGCGGGTCAGAAGACCAGGGGCTGGCTCTGTAACATTTTTGAAGGCTTCTAAAAGCTGACCTACCTTCCAACGAATAGGAGAACTTACTGTTAGTAAAAATGAGCAGAAGTGGTCTGGCATACCCCAAGGCCCATTAGCCAAACATAATTTCTTCCAAAGACCTGGGAGAGGTGAATAGACATATGCATCAAATAAAACGTAATGTGGTGCACGTTCTTAAAACCACAACATGCTTACATAAAAAGAAGATCTGTAGATACCGCCTTACACAATTCGTGTTGCGTGTCTTTCTGGACATAGCGGGGTATTGAATAGCAAACGCGTTTCGACGCAGTGGCATAAAACGACAAAACCGGTTAATAGAGGTACGCGACAAGGGGGTATATTATCGCCGCTACTATGGTTTCTGCATATGAGCCAAGCAATAAGGGAGAAAGTATCATCTTTGAGCAATCGAAGCAGGGTGACTCTCCAGCTGGAGCAAAGCGCCAATATCCTCGAAATAATACTTGGAGCAAGCTATCGTGCCGCCTCAAGGTGACGAAAAGGAGAAAGAAGGCAGCAGAGGTATTCTATGCGTGCAAAATAATGCTGGGCTACATATAGGGCCTATTGCCTTCTTGTGCTCACTGCATCTTCACTGCCGATACTTTTGCGTGAGATATTGGTTTGGTGGACCGCAATGGAAAAGAAAACATTTCTTAAACAAACAGAAAGTATATACATATATGCTATCAATGATCGACACGATAGGGGCACTTAGATCTTCGCCAATGGCAGCACTTTACACCTTCTTGCATCTCTTGCCTGCGCGCCTATGAGCCAAGAAAAATACTCAAATACTGCGTCTAGGCTCTATGCTACGGGTCAGTTTGTGTTTAGGTTCTAAGCGGACTGATTAACTACATGAACACGGATCTGCAATTTGGGACGAACCTCGAAGCCACTATAGTCTGGCTCGGTTATTGTATACAGATGGGTCGAAGATGGAAAAAGGCGTCTGAGTGGACCTGGTTCTCAAAAAATCCCATCAGCTGCCGGACTGAAGCATCGTAGCGAATAAATAGGTAAATCTGTATATCGACAGTCAGGCTGCGATAAAGTACTACTATCGCACAGCACTTTCTCAAGAAGTTTGGCGGAGTGCAGGGCAGCTCTGGCTTTGCTTCATACTGATACAACCGTACAATGTAGTGGGTTCTGGGAAACCGGCGTCACGGGCAACGAAGATACCGACAGGCTTGTCGAAGAAGACGCTCTGTCTGAAATTATGCTGATAGAAGGAAGTACCGATTTACTACCAAGCAGGGGCGGATCCAGCGAGGGGGGTTTTGGGGGATAAACTACGTGTCAGTCAGTGGGGGACCCACGAGGGGTGTTTTAGTACATAGACGCCATATTATACATACATATGCGCCATATTAAATCACACCCCGTGCGTNCCCCCCCCCCCGCTGGATCCGCCACTGCCACCAAGCGATTATACAGAGTTCCACCTGTCCATGATCTGGAAGAAGCAGAAGGTGTGAACCAAAAAACAATGCTGCAGTGTTCGGGACTATGTGCATAGCGTATAACATAAAGCTCAGGAAGCTTCTCCTATCTCTCAAAAGGGCGTCGCACGCTTTTAAATTGGCTCTGGTGAATAATAAGATCCGTAGGATGCAGAAAGAAAGGAGTGACAGTGCAACACATCTGTCCATGCGAGTGTAATGCCCTTAGCAGACAGCGGATTAGTCTACTGGGAGCTTACATATGGCAGCTACTTATATAAAAAAAATAAAAAAATCGTTAAAAAATTAGCGTCGCATCCATACACAGATGACACACATATGTATGTATGCATATATGACGTTTCTTAAGCTGATGACACATAAAACTTTAGCTTCCTTTTACGTGACAGATTCGCTTTGACAAATAAGATGAATTGTATGAAAATGCACAAAGCATGCCACATAGATCATTGAAGCTGCAGCGCGAAGCGAAAAGATGGCCAACTCCCATCTTTTTACGCGCTTTGACAATTAGCGGGTTTAATATTTATTTTGTTTCGTCCAAATTCAAGTTTTCATGTAGAAACATAAAACTTAATTCTTCTTCTTCTTCTTTTTTGGCGCTGTAACCGCCTAAGAGATTTTGGCCGAGTTCAGCAAAGCACGCCAGTCGTTTCTCCTCTGTGCCAACTGACGCCAATTGGAAACGCCAAGTGAAGCCAAGTCCTTCTCCACCTGATCTTTCCATCGCAGACGGGGCCTCCCTCTTCCTTTGCTACCATCAGCGGTTAATTACATTGCTGATATTTTTAAAGCAAAATATATAAAATCCCCAGCAATTTTGACGAGTAAAAAAGCAGTACAAAATTGTTTTCTTGGCGTTGATTGTGGCATACCTTTTGCATCTGGCGCTTTGCTGATAAAGTTATAAATATCACGCAAAGCCACAAAGTTTTATCTGGCATCAGCTCTAGGCCTGAACGACATTTCCTTGATTTTTTTCAAGGCCTCCAGGTAGTTGTAGAAATTTTGGGTACTAAAAAGGCGGGGTATATTTTAAATGTAAACTTGTCAGTTCCAAACCAGATTATATTGGCATCTAAGCAAAGATCACTTAATTTTTCGTCGCTGCCCGTTTCGTTAAATTTCGGCTGGATATAGCTTTAGAGGGGAAGATTTATATCACGTTTATCAATCTTTTTGAGTTTCAGTATGATTATAAACTGATTTCTGAATACTATTACACTTCCACAGCAAAATGTAGGACTTAAAAAACTTGTCAGTCAGGGCTTTGGGGATATGCTTTATATTAATAAGTTCACTTTTTCTAAATATCCGAGAATGAATTCTGTCACCACGACACCCTGTGCGACAGGTCGTATGAGTTACCTTCAGAAACTTTTTTTCGATGCTCCCATAGAGTGTGGATAGCGTATCCGCTCTTTTACCCCTTTTTTAATTAAACGATTATCCTAGCAGTGTTCGCATATAATACAATATTGTACATACATATCGCTCGCTTAGAATAAAAAGTTGTTAAGTCCATTTTTTTTTTAATTTTACAGGAGAGTAAAAACCTTCTCATAGCTATTTCCGGCAAGTATTTCGCAAAAGTTTAAACACAACACAAATGTAGGTATTTATTTTAAATAACAAAACTTATTTTATTTTCTGTTGTACACAATTTGAGAAAAGTTTGAATAATAAAATTTTCTATTTGATTGACGAACCACAAAAATCACATAAATCTAAAATTTCCAAAATTACAAAGTTGAAATGAACACAGTACAATAAAAGGTAATAACACAAATACAGACCCTACAATACTCCCCCTTCTAGAGAATTAATGTTGTGACTGTACCGGACCGTTATCCTTTACCTCACATTCAAGATTTTAACATGAATCTCAGAAATAAGTATATATTTTCGAAATTAGATTTGGTAAGGGCCTACCACCAAATTCCAATGGCAGAAGAGGATATCTATAAAACTGCAATAACGACACCTTTCGGTATGTTTGAATTTATACGAATGCCTTTCGGACTAAGAAATTCAGCGCAAACTTTTCAAAGATTTATTAATGAAGTAGTTAGTGGTTTAGATTTTGTTTTTACATATATTGATGATCTATTGGTTGCAAGTGAAAATGAAGAACAGCATTTTAAAGATCTCCGTATACTTTTCCAACGCCTAACAGAGTACGGGTTAAATATCAAACCAAGTAAATGTACTTTCGGTGTAACAAGTGTTGACTTTTTAGGACATAATATTTCTGGGGCAGGAATTAGACCCTCTGATGAAAAAGTGATAGCAATTCGTAGTTTTGAACGTCCTAAATCTATTAAACAGGCGCAGAAATTTATAGGTATGGTTAATTATTACCATCGATATGTACCAAAATTAGCTGAGTTTACGGCAGTTATCTACGATTTAATCAATCGAACAACTAAGAAACGTGACAAGTCCTTAATTTGGGATGACACAACTAATAAAGCCTTTGAATGTATTAAAGAAAAGTTTGCGTCTACGATATTGTTAAATCATTTTAACAAAGATGCCAAACTCTCTTTAAATGTAGATGCATCTAATACGGCAATTGGTGGTGTCATACATCAAACGTTTGATAACAAATCAGAGCCACTAGCTTTCTTTTCTAAGAAACTTTCTCCATCCGAAGTTAAGTACAGTGCATTTGACAGAGAGTTGCTAGCTATTTATTTGAACATTAAACATTTTCGCTATCTTTTAGAAGGACGACAGTTTACAGTTTTTACGGATCACAAGCCTTTGATATATGCTTTGAGTTCAAAAACCGAACGTAGTCCGAGACAAACTAGACATATGGAATTCATTGCACAATTTACTAATGACATACGATATATTAAAGGACAGGAGAACATTATAGCTGACACATTATCTCGAGCTTTCGAAGTTGATGCAATTAAGGGTACAGAACTGAATTTCAAAGTTTTACAAAATGAACAAGAACAGGACGAGGAATTAAACACATTAAAATCTGGAGACACATCACATAACCTTAAATTAATTCAAATTCCACTTTTAAATTTTAATATTTGGTGTGAAATGACAGGTGAGAATCCTAGGCCATTTGTTCCAAATTGTTTACGCAAGACAGTGTTTAATATGCTACATGGCATTACACATCCTGGTACAAAAGCTACACGTCGTCTAATTATTAAAAAGTACTATTGGCCAAAAATGCACAAAGAAATTAATATTTGGTCAAAAGAATGTATAAATTGTCAAAAATCGAAGGTTAATCGTCACACAAAATCTCCAGTAATTAAAATTCCGATTCCCAAAAGTAGATTTGATCATATTCATTTAGATATTGTTGGACCTCTTCCTGTATCGAAAGGACATCGTTACATTTTAACAATAATTGACAGGTTCACGCGTTGGCCCGAGGCATATGCATTAAAGGACATTTCAGCGGCAGTGGTTGCAAATAAATTTTTTAGAGAATATGTTTCACGTTTTGGGGTACCGTTAAAAATCACATAAATCTAAAACCTGGCAGGATCGCCAAATGTAGGTATTTATTTTAAATAACAAAACTTATTTTATTTTCTGTTGTACACAATTTGAGAAAAGTTTGAATAATAAAATTTTCTATTTGATTGACGAACCACAAAAATCACATAAATCTAAAATTTCCAAAATTACAAAGTTGAAATGAACACAGTACAATAAAAGGTAATAACACAAATACAGACCCTATAACAAAGCAAAACAAACGGATACGATCTGTATTAAAAGATTTCGTATTATTTTGGCCTTGTCGGATTTTGGGTGCCTATTTTAGACTTAGCCAAATTTTCTTTCATTGAATATAAACGAGAAAAAAATAAAGCAAGTTCTTTTATCTTTTTCGAAACGATGCATTTTTAATATCTATAAGTTTCATAAAAAGTGGACTTAGTAACTTTGCACTCTAAGCTAACGATATATATCCTATTTAGTGTTAAACACTTTAAGCTAGGTGAACCAACGTGTCGGATGAGCAATATTTTGTATTTTACTTTTAGCGAATATAACAATTAATTTTAATTCACTAAATAAATAAATATGTGGTACTAAAGGCATTACAAATTAACCGTAAGAAAAAAATTTTAATATGTATGTACATATAAAAAATATGTAAGTGCAAAAAAAACTTTCAAATAAGTGATAAACGGTTTTATAAAAATTTCTCAAGGACCCATTTGTACGGGTAAAAATAAACCTATATATAGATAATCTCATGCCATGACCATTTCTACAATTTGGATTTACACTAAATTCAAATGAAATATCATCATTCTCACAGAACTTGACCGATCCGTAATGTGTAAATATATACATACAAATGTATGTTTTATGTATGCGTTGTTTGTGTAGTGATTTGTTCAATATTTATGTATGTGAACATTTAATGTTCAATAAATGCGTGTAACTACGAGCATGATAAAAACATAGCAAGGTAGAACCGTTCTCTCAATTTGTCGGCCATGATTTTTTTTTAAGTTTGCCAACATTTTAAGATCATATAAAAGTGAAAGTAAAAAATTGAAATTGTTCGAAATTGTTGTTGCTTGAGATTGAAAATGAAAATGTGTGTGTGAGTTTCTACCTTACTATATTTTTATCATGACTACGAGTACTTAGAACAAAATTATCAGTGCAGTCGAATTAACCAAAACACATACCTGATGTGCCAGAATACAGGCACGATTCACTGCTTCAGCTTCCACTTCCTCTTGCCGCGAGAGTTCATGACCCTCTGGACCAGTTATACCGGCGGCCAACAATTTTTGCACATTCTTAGCAATAATATCACCATTCTCAGCGTGCACCTAACAAAAAATAAATGCTAGTTTAGCTAGGCATTGGCTAACAATTACAAGCAAATACCTGCGCCACACCATTCAGTGAACGTATACGCTCGAAAGCATCCAACAATTCGGAATCATTCAACTGATAGAGACCCTTGTAGGCCATGAACATTTTAAAAGAATTCACGCCCAACTCTTCGCACATAATTTTCATTTCCTCGGCCACAGATTTGGACCACCAAGTGATACCTACATGGAGCGCATAATCACAGCAAACTTTGGGGTCAGCCCAAGCGCGCCATTTGTCGTAGGCTTCAACCAGAGACTCGCCCTTGTCGGGTAGCACGAAGTCGACTGTGCATTAAAATTGAATTACTCGTATATACATATACTTTCTTTCTTTATTTTCATAATAGTATTTTGTGGTATTAAATAATACTCACTAATGGTGGTGGTGCCACCGGCTACAGCCGCTTTGGTGCCATGATAGAAATCATCTACTGCCACACAACCGCCAAATTTCAACTGCATATGGGTGTGTGGATCAATGCCACCAGGCAACACCAACTTATTAGCAGCATCCACTATGCGTACGCCACCGGGCACAACAATCTCAGAGGCGGGGCCCACAAATCTATTGAAAATTTCAAAGGCACACATTAGCAATAAAAAAAAACACTCTTATAATAAATAATCACTTGATTATGCCATCTTCAATGTAAATATCAGCCTTGAATGACTTGTCGTGATTTACGATGTGTCCATTCTTGATATAGACGCGATTCTGAGAGCTCTGAAATGTTGAAATATTGTTATTGAGAAGGAGTATCTACAACATTTTGCATTAATTGTACTTACCTGCAGATGTATAGGCACCTTCTTGACGGGCTTTGGACTTGTCGCCATGTTGTTCAGAATTTAGCTGAAAAACGAAAGGAAACATTTATTTAGTTGAGTTAATTTTGAAAAACGAAGTAAAAAGTATTCAATATGATTATTACATAGAAATAGGCCTATAAATATTAATTGACATCTTTTGGAAAGTTTGTACTTTTTGCCGGAATTTATGCGATGTGCACATTGCGGGCCAATGCACTATTTCATTTCTACAAGCTTATATTTAACTTGCTATGTACATACAGTGTCTCAAACGAGTGTTCACGTGTTGATTTTTTTTGTTAAATATATATTCACAATATATATCCATTTCACTTATGAAAAATCAGATTTGACTTTTAAATATACATATATATATATATATTCGTAAGAAAGCTTTTTTTACGTCTCGTTCTTTTGGCTACCATATGCAAAATTTATTTTGATACCCATATTAAATTATTTAATTTAACCTGTTGACCTTTAAAAATATTTCTTTAATTAAGCTTTCTTAAATCTTTCTTGTTCGATACACATACTAAAATACTTTTGTTACTATAATCGACGATGCACAGTGTTTCGACTATATGGAGGCAGATAGAAAAAAGTTATGATANCCAAGCCGGAGACATGTAGATTGGAATTTTTTTATCATGCAAGTTCGACCCATTCGCGAAAATGTTACTGGAATCTCTACTCAGAGGCAGCGAATATCACATGAGTTAGTAGTTAGAGTCTAAAACGAAATATTCTGGAACTAGTTACTTCAAATTACAATCGACTTTTTAATACAAAAGTAAAATTTTAATTTGTCCCATGCTCATAAATGTTTGTATTTGGAAAGTGAGCAAACTAAAAGATAACTTTTATCACTATATGAACTGATAAGTGCGAAATAAAAGCGAAAAGGTAAACCATTCAATATTTGTATGTGTATTTATACTCTATATGTATATATAAACTGTATTTATAAATCCAAGCCAATGGTAAATAATGTCTGATAGTAAAAGTGCGAATAATCAAAGGAGACTAATTGAAGGCCCAAACAAACAACGTAACACCTCATTCCCATCGCTATGAAGTTGCATAGGCGTGCATGTACGAATATTTTCAATTTAACCACAAAACATTTGTTTCCAAACTAAGTACCCTTGAGAGTACTTCGTGGTTCAATGGAAAATCATTTGAGTATTCAATGCAACTTGACGGTTCAAGGCGTCGCGACACAGCGCAGGAGTCGAGTTCAGGTGAGTCACAACGGTGTTTTATACATACATATGTAGGTATGTATAAATACTAAACAATTGTAGGTAAATAGCGTCAAGTAGGCCTACGCCCACCTCATATACTGTTCACATACTGTAGCTATGCAGTAGCAAATCAACCCCAAAAAGCTTGGCATTTTACGCAGCATAGACGGAGCATAATCACGAAAGTCGATGGCGTCATCGAGCTAAGAGTTGTGGAGGTCGCTACAATGCTGCTCTACTAAGTATGCTCCGACGCCCAAGACGACTGGATATTTGTGGGGTAGGTATGACTCATCGCTCGAATATTAAATCTCAACGAGCGTAATGTATTTTCCGCAGTCTCTTGGCGAGTCGACAAATGCGCCATTATGACCACTTTTACGTGCTGATAGTAGTGGCGCATGCATACTCGCAAGTCTACATAATATGTAGTCCTTGCTCGGATTTACTGTCTGCGTGCATATCGTAGTTGTCAGCGCCGGTCTCCAGTCATACTGGCGGCGGCACGCGACTCTTTGCACAGATGCCGACACGTGCAGCTGGAGATAAAAACCATTACATATGAGTACATATCTTAAAAGGGGTGAGGATGCAGATACATATTCAAGGGATGGAATTGCCCAAAGGCAGCGAGGTGGTGCGTTGCAGTTTTGACAGCTTGTGGCCGCAAGCCAACACAACCAAAGACTATCAACCCTTGGCATCGATTTTGTGTTTCATAAAACCACAACAATTCTTCATAAATAGATTGAAGTGTTAAGTAATGACCATTTTAAGCTTTAAGAAAAAAAGAGCAAAAATAGCTTAAGTACTAAGTACTAATGAACTCTTTACCCGATATTGTAGTCTAGCCAAATTGGCATTGAAGTACTAAATGAATGCACCGTCGGTGAAAAAATACGCATTAGAGAGCTAAAAAATCACTTATAAGAATGATCAAATATAGATCGGTGCAGAATATAGTGGAGAAAAATCCACAACTAAAGTGAGCGAAACGCAGATTTTATTGCGGATTTCGATATCGTAAGTTTTTGAAAAAATATTATAAAAAAATGTTCTGCAAATTTTCATTACAATATTGCACTTTTTATTACATTCTTCAGAAAACAATTTAGTACGCAGCTTTTTAGCCCATTTAATTTTAGTGCAATAAAGTGTGAGTCTTGAAAGAGATGCGCACGTGACTCACGATGTCAAAGCGCACGCCTCAAATAGGAGGAGAAGCTCGGCCTAACACTAACATATTGTGTAAAAGCCAATCTTTTATTAATATTAATTGCCTTTTCCTTAAATTTCAGGCCTTTTACTCGATTTAATCGACCACCATTTTAAGAAAAAGCAATTGCTTAGTTTTTATGTATACGGGCCAAACAAAATACATTGGGCGTCAAGAGAAAAAGAAAAGCGTGAATAACATTCGTCTCGATGCGTTGCCGGAAACTTTTTTTTTCTGCAAATAATTACAAAAACATTGTTAAATTTTATAAAAAAAAAATTTATGGTCTAAAAAAATAAAAATTACAAGAAAACACCATCATTTTCAAATGTTTAAAATATGCGCAGAATCGATATTACCAATCGCGAGAAAACAATTAAAATCTAAACAATTTCGAAAAATGTTAATAGCGATAACTTCTAAAATAATTCGAATTTCGAAAATTTGCGAAACTGGTATTTTTCTTTTATCGTTGAAAGCATAAACAGATAATTTCACAAAAAAAGCTCGACCCTCGAAAAAATGGTGGACCACTGCACAAATTTTTACTCTTTTTCTTATTTCAAATCTTGAAAATTCATAAGGCGAAGAAAAGTTCATCCATGAATAATTTATTATCTTTATCTGATTATTTTATTCGCCTTTCTCTGTCTTCGGTTCTACCAAAGGTTTATGCAAATGCTCCAAAAATGTATGGTTGTTCTATCCTGTCTGCTTTATTGAACTTTTTGTCTATTTATGTACATACTTTCATGCATATTTGGAAATGGCTTAAGCACAGGAAATGTGTTTACTATATGTATTTTCATTACTAATTCACTATTCATCTGATGACGGTGTTGAAAAATTAATTAAATAGGATTAAAAAGCCATAAGAAATGCAATGCGCTTCCGTTAATCTATAAGATTTGTGGTTTAGCACGCACCAAGCGTATAATGTATATGTACATACGTATATGTATGTAAATATAAACAAAATTCATTTTTAAAGTACATACAGTACGCCCTCGGAAAAAGCAGCCGAAAAAATTGGGGCAACCGATAGAAATAAGGTTGTTGCAATAGCCGAGTCACAAAAGTATTGAACCTTAAATGAAAAACATGGCTGTGCTTGAAAAACACCAAAGATGCATATTCAAAAAAGAAAGGGCCTACCCTTCGCATGTACAAAAGCTTAAATTTTTTGAATAGGGTTGCCACCTATATAAACATTACTATCTTCTATACATAGTGTAAGGGAAAGTCGAGATATTTTAACCATGTAAACTCAAAAACTACTGAACGGATTTATACGAGATTTTTTTTAAGTATAATCTGTATCGATAGGAATATTGTCTTGAGTACTTTTAATTCCTATAGCGTTGCCACCTGTCTAAAAAATTATTAGATCGGCACTGTTCGTTGGATTACAAGAAATGAGGTGTCAAATAAAAGGGTTCGGCTTTTAGATGTTCAATAATGTATTGCTTTTTGAGTAGGGTTGCCACTTTTTAAAAATTATAAGATCTTCACCTTTTGTTGGACTAAAATCTGAGGTACCAAGTGAAAGAATATGGTCTCTGCATGTGGAATAAGTTTTTATTTTTTGTTTGATTGAGGGTGCACGAGGGCATTTTTTGTTAATAACATTAGATTTACACAGTTCATTCAACTTAAAAAAATTAGGTGTCAAAGGAAAAGGCTTGACCTTCCGCTTTGCAGTAAGGTTTTATTTTTCGAAGAGGGTTGCAGCCTGTGCGAAAAATTAAAAAATGTGGGCTGTTCGTTAGATTACAAGAAATGAGGTGTCAAATGAAAGAGCTTGGCCTCCAGATGCGCAATTATGTATGTATTATTTTTTAGTAGGGTTGCAACCTGTTTAGTTGTCAATCGCATTTTATTTGCCCACAATGATTAACGTCCCTGAAAATTTGTTATTTTATGTCCAGCTCAACCATTCAACCAGCTCAACGGATTTATTAATGTTTTCTTCAAATGTGTATTTTTTTCTATTATTTAAATGCATACAAATTTTCTGGCTTATTTTGCAGTTAAGGATAGGCGTATACAATTCAAAGGAAAGACTTAACTTAAGAGAGAGTTATTTGTCTGATTTACTAAAAACTGACAAACAACGTTCAATGCTCTACTAATGGCTTGGACTAAATGCGGAACTTGACCGTAGGTTAATGTTATTATTTTTTAAAAAGCTATCCAATTTATGCGAACTACTAGAGGGACCACCATCGAACACAGATGACCATAACAGAATCAATATGCCTACACACACATACATGTACAAACATACATATGTATATTAGTATATATAGGAACATGCCTATTTACCATGATTCAATAATACAAGGTTCGATAAACTGACAGTTGTCTCTCTCGCACCGCTCCCTTAGCAGTGGCACCGTGTTGCTTCTTTGCAAATTTACATGGAAACAGTGTAGCTTTGGTGTGAAATAAAAATATAAGCTTTTGTGCAATATGTTTATTTGTATATGCATATGAAGCATATTTAACTGATGAAAACATAAGCATTGGATGTTTACATCGATCTCATAGTAGTCTTATTTTAATTTTTAGTCATTTTGCAGTTTTTATACGGCTAAATAG